TATGTGTCTATCCTTATGCCAGTATAATACTAATTTGATGACTGTAGCTTTGTGTTAAGTTTTGAAATTGGTCAATCTTTCACCTATACTGACTAGTACTTACCAAGAGCCCACTGGAAATGTCCGTATCATGACTGTGCTGATGCCATAAGCACATTGAAGTAGCTCTTGTTGTATGTAGTATTTGAATTATTTTTATAGCATTTGTTAGCTTAAAAGGCACTTTCATGTCCTCTGTGTCATTTGCTGTTCACCATAAACTTATGAAGAATTTAAGGCATAACACAGTGGATGCTGCAAAGGCTTACCGAACCAAGTCATTTCCAGAGGGTCAGACAGAGCTCCTTAGTCCTCAGTGATGGTCTCTTCAGTCAGAAATAGCAGGTTGTGCTGGCTGTGTTGGTGAGTTCCCTTAAACAGAAGTACTACATTTATAAGGCTTATTTATTAAATGCAAAGGTATCTTTGAGGGTTTTTTTTTCAAACTTGTATGTGTTTAAGAACCATCTAGGGAACTGATTGAAAACGGATTCCTGGGCCTCAACCCCAAAGATTTTGATTCATCAGGTCTGGGGTGAGGCCTGAGAATTGGCATTTCTAACAAGTTCCCAGAGGATGCTCCTGCTGCTGGTCCACGGCCCACAGTTTGAGTAGCACTGATATAATGGACATAGTGTGAGGAGTTTGCTTCATGTGGTTATTTCAGACTTGTCAACTCTCCCTTTCACCTTCAGAATTTGTTTAGATGGTCCATGAAGCAGTTTTCTAGAACTAGTCTAGTTATAAAAATTGCTTCTCACATGACTTCAAAGTTTGTGATTCCTTTTCTCAATCATTAAAAAAACAAACAAAAAAACCTTCATTCAACACCTGCTGTGTACTAGATGCAGGGACTACCAAAAAATGAGTAAAAGAATTATCCTTGAGAAACTTTTCTGGGTGGTAAAGAGTTGGGGTAGCCCTCCTGCATTTAATGGGAACTTAAAATAATTGGAATTACAACAATGAAGAGAAGGTATATAAAACATGTGGTACCTTGTTTTTACCATTTCTTTTCTGCTATCATCTTTTCCTTCTTTTGTTGGTTATGAAGCTGGCTTTACTTCTTTTTTGAATTTAAAGACAGTTCTAACTGCAGGTAGACCAGAAATAAGATGAATTTTTTTAATCACTCCAAACATCTATGACCAGTGTAAATAGCAGTATCCCAACTACACGACAGTGTACAAGGTCCTATAGAGTGGACCTTAGAGACATATTTGAACGAGATGGACATAGACAGGTGTCAGACAGGCACCACTGATATTACAGTTAAATATATACATGCAAAGGGGACTATAAATAAGACTAAATGATATACATTATATCTCAAACAAATCATCCTGCTCAGAGATGGTCTAGTGAGCTCTAAAATGGTAATTACATTTTCCCCTGGGGTAAAGATTGGAGAATGATGAGATAGGACAAACACTGGTCCTGTGAAGTGCCCAGAGCACATGTTATCCCTGGGTTGTATTTATGTTGTGTTCTTTATTGGCAGGCAGAGAGCAGACTCCATTCTTAACGCTGTGCTTTAAGCCTCTCTTTTTCCCTTCCAGTGACTGCCATGTGGCATGGGTCTCTGCCCAGGCTCGTAATGAGACAGTAGCAAGGCGGCTGTGGGATGTCAGCTGTGACCTGCTAGGCATCCCTGTGGATTGACAGATGATGGCAGTTGGACTCAAGAGAAGCTTGCAGCAGACTCCTCAGTACTCCCTGCTAAAATGATTCTCCTTCTGGATGGTCAAAACCTTGAGCACAAAGAAAACAAACCTTCCAAACTTACCTGCTTGACGTCTGATAAAAGCCCAGCGTACACTGCCAGATTCATCTAAATGTCTTGCATTTGTCCAGACTTATTTTGCTCCTGTTACTGCCAGAGTTACTAGAGATATATAGGATGAGTAGACCCCCATATGACCTCCAGGCTCCTATTTTCTTCCTGAAACCTACTACCTAGTAGAACCGAAGCAATGGCAGGGTTGATTTATGGCAATTTGGATTAATTTCTATCCTCTTTGTCCACAATGTAGTTCCTCCCAACCAAACAACTTTCAAGGGGGCCATACTGCAACCTGAGATAAACTCCAGGAGTCACAGTGGCTTGGCTCAAGAGCAGGGTTGTCCTTCACCTCTTAAGAAAAGTCTTATGGCACCAATATCTGGATTCTTCCTGGAAACTCTTAACTGAATCTGGATTGTGGCATGGCTTTATCTCTAACCTAAAGCCACTGCTGTTAAGACATTTTCTCATGCCTAGACCATAGAAGAGCCTCCTTTTCTAAGAAGTTGGTGGAGTTTAGGGGATGACAGAAAATGGGGGGAACCAGAAATAAAAATCAAACTTAAGCCGTCATTCATTTTCCTGCTATTTCTCAAACCAGCAAGAGGGTGGTGAAAAACAGTTTAAGAAGAATGGCCACCTGACTTCAGTTACTGACCCCAGACCCATGGAGGCCTCCTTTTTGTGCCTTAGTTTCTCTTAGAAAACCAGGAGAAGGGAAAGGCTATTTGGTGATTGTCCCTGCGTGTATCTTTGTATGTGTTCTTGTGTATTTATGCAGTTGTGAGTATTGAAAATAGCCACAAAGGAACAGTATTAAACTGGATCCTAGTGCAGGAAACTGATCAGAGACAAAGCAAACCAGTGTCATTCAGTCTTGGATACAAATAGGTGGAACCGCAGAGGGACGTGAACTCTGTATATGCTGATAGCTACCCATCACGAAGCATATGGGTAGCAGGGAAGAAGTCCAAAAAAGAGAAGAATCCTAGAAGATAATTCAGGCAATGAAGGGACTAGTTAAGGATTTAAAAACTTAAGAAAAAAAGCTAAAGATGGTAAAATTCAGCAATAGAAGAATTAAGGGTGAGCACCTGAGTTCAGACAAGACTGGTAAGGCGCTATCTGAACAAGCACAAATCAACCTGTCAGGAAGAACAAAACCCCAATTCTTTATTCAGCAAAATTTCTTAAGGACTGATACTGGTAATTAGTCAATTTAAAAATCTTGCAGGGCATTACCTTACATTATCTTGACAAGATTAAAATGTCTACTGTATTGGCTAGAAATCTACATTTTATTTGGAGAACTGTTATCAAAGGTAATGCTGCCAAAGGAAGTCAGGAATTGGCAATGTTCCATCACTTGTTTGGAGTATATTCTTCTAATAGAGTTTGTGATTTTCCTAGACTGACAATTATATGTTCACTTTGGTGGGAGTTTCAAGAGTTGTAGGACCACAGTCTTATATTTGTAAATAATCTTTTTGTTGAACTTGTTTGGACAAGTAAACTATACAGACATGGTCATTTTATGAAAAAATTGGAAAACTTTTGATACTAGTGTAGAACTGAATTAATATTTTACTTAATTTATACTGAATTGTCAATGACAAATAAAAATTGATTATTGATTATGTTTTTATCTACCAGAATACAAACTTTAAGAATTAAACAAATTTAATTTGCGTCAACAGAAGACAACAATTAAATGAAAGCTTATATTAGAGTCAAAAGAAGAAAATACTTCCCGTTATTATGGTTACCCAACCATTTCTCATTCTGAGGATAATTTGTTCCAGAGTCTAGTCTAGCCGTGGTACAGTTTCAGTTCAAATGCCATTAGCTTCAGTTGTGTGATAATTTATTAATCCACCCATTTTCTACTAATCTTCTATGATGCTGTTCAAAGATCACTTTTTCCATCCCAGCCTGTTTGTTACCTCTCATCTTTTTTTCTTTTACACAACATATTCCACTGTTTATTTTTATATTGATTTGATTCTTTTTTTTTTAAATTGAAGTATAGTCGATTTACAATGTTGTGTTAATTCCTGGTGTACGACATAGTAATTCATTCCTTTTCATGTTCTTTTTCACTATAGGCCATTACAAGGTGCTGAATACAGTTCCCTGTGCTATACAGTAGGACCTTGTTGTTTATCTATTTTATATATAGTAGTTAGTGTCTACAAATCCCAACTCCCAATTTATCCCCTTCCACACCCTCTTCCCCCCCGCCCCCCGGCAACCATTAGTTTGTTTTCTATGTTACCTCTCCTTTTTGTACCTACGCTTTCTATAACACGCTATGGGACTTATCACAGTACACTGCAACTAACAACCGCAGACTTTGCTGTCTCTCTATGCTCAGTGAATATTAGGAACTCAACAGAAGTTTGTTGAATCATTGGTCAGTGAGCTCAGCCTAATAAATTTAAGAGTCCAAGAGATACAAATCACCAAATCCTGCCCAGATCCCTGCACAGTGACTACGCTTAAACTGACAGATACCTGTTGAGTGAATAAATGCACTAGGCGAGCCGGGCCGCTAGAGGCTGACTGCGTATGTCGGGGGTCACACTGCCCGGGACCACTCCTGAAAGTATGAGAGCTGGTCACTTGATTACCCAGTAAAAGTGCTCGAGCGCAGGCAGGAACCTGGCCTGGGTATCTTTCAAGGAATGAAAACTAACAGCCAGAACGTGAACTGAGGAAGTCAGGGTGGCCAAACAGTGCGATGACAGTAATGATGACTACCTGGCGCCTACTAATTTCAAACGACCGCGCGTCAGTGTCAAGCCGGCGGCCGCAGCGACAGCCGAGCCGCCGCCACCAGTAATGCGTGACTTCCGAGTCGGAACGTCTTCCGCGCCGGACTACAGCCCCCGGCATGCACTGCAGCGTCCGCTCTCGCCGGAAGGCGGGCCCGGGAGAGAGGCGGCCGCGCCGCCCGGTCCGCCGGTCCCCACACTCCCTTCCGCTGTGGCGCTCTCCCCAATCCCGGATTGGGTATTTCCGGGGTTTCGAGACAGCCGTTCGCCCCGGTGCGCCGCCGCCCCCTAGGGAGTCGCCGGGGCAGCACAGCTCGCCCAACTTTCCGTCAGGCTTGGCGCCCGGCGCGCCGTCAATGACGGCATGCAGCGGGTGGGCGTTCCGGCTTCGAAGGACCCCGCCGCGGCCCGGAAGCGCCTCGTCCAGGGCGGCGGAGGCGGCGGTCGCCGTGATGCCTGCAGCACTGGGCGGCTGACAGCGGAGTAGGAGTCGGCCCCGGGACCAGAGTCTCGGCGGCCGCTGCTTGAGAGCGGCCTGCGCCATGGCCAACTCCGCCGCCTCCTCTGAGCATTTCGAGAAACTGCATGAGATCTTCCGCGGCCTCCATGAAGACCTCCGAGGGGTGCCGGAGCGGCTCCTGGGGATGGCAGGGACAGGTGAGGCGGGGGCGGGCTAAGACTAGGGGATCCAGGCCCCGCTAGCTCTGGGAGGAAGAGCCCCCACCCTCTCCCCAGACCCTTGCCCTCTTCTTTCCGCTTCTCATTCTCAGACACGCCCCTAGGGCTGCCTGGGTCCCGGCGCCCTGCGTCTCCGGCTGCCGCTTAGGTGTTCAGGGATGCACCTCGCAGTGTCATCTCCCTTTCGATCCTCCTATAGCCTTCAGATATTTCTCATCTCATTTTCATTATGGCAAGAAAGCATAGGAGACCTTCAATCCACGATTCTGTATTTCAGTAGAATTGGTTTCTTTTGCAGCTCTGTGTTTTGCTTTATACGTTTAAAAGTATTCTCAAAAGAAGTGCATAGTATTCACCAGACTGGCAAAGAATCTGTAGCACAAAAAAGGTTAAGAACTCAAAGGAATCGTAACTTTTGGGGTTGGTAAATAACCAATTTTGGGGGGGAGGGGTTGGTCTTTAAAATGGAGATTGTAATCTTTAGGTGTCCTCTTATGAACTTTCTGCTTAGACTGATTCCTGCCCCCCTCCCCCCGATTTCAAAATTCAGATTGCTGCAAGTTTTGCTTGAAGGAGCTAGAGTTTTCCGGTTATATCTGTATAGGAAGACCTGCCATAGTTCTTTGCCTTAAGACAAATAGATCTCGATGGCAAGGCAGATAAGACTAGGCTTTGTTGTATTGTTTTTACTTAAGTGTCAGAGCTTGAGTGTTTGTGAGTTACCCAAAGTAATATGAATTGAATGACTCTGGTGAGAATGAAATTCATACCTTTGTTTAACATATATTTATTGGGGGAGCCTGCTCTGTGCCAGGCACTGTCCTAGATGCTAGTAATATTGCAAATTGTAGTGAAAAGAGTTAAAAATTTCTGTTCTAATGGGTCGATGATAATATATAAATATTAAGAGGTGGTGTTAAGGGCAATACAGCAAAATAAACCAGGGCAAAGGAATGAGGGGGCTGTAATTTTAAATTGGGTGGTTGTGAAAGGCCTCTTTGAGGAGGTGGCATTTGAGCAGGAGAAAGGGAGTAAACTGCCAAAATCTGAGAGAAATGAGTGTCAGGAGGATGGAATAGCACTGCAGAGATGCTATTAAGCAGAAATGAGCTTGATGTGTTCTAGGAAGAGTAAAAAGGCCAGTGTATTTGGGGTGGGATGTGTAAAGGAGATTGTGGTAGTAGATGAGGCTTTAAAGAGGTAGGAAGGGTCAAATCACGCGGGACCTTGTAGACTGTGGTGAAAGATTTGCATCTTTCTTTAAATGCGATGGCTTTGAGCTAAAGGATATTGAACAGGAGGTGATGGGATCTGATTTACATGGTTGAAAAATAGACCGTTTTTTCATTTCAGCCTTGTGCTGAGTTAAATTTTGCAGTGCCCATTTCTGTAAGGCTAAATAACGTGAATGGAGATTCCCTTTTGAAAAAAAGAAAACTTAGTTATATTCACCTTTGTCATCTACCTAACCTTCTAATTCCTGCAGAGAGGACAGGCAGAAAGGCGTGAATTTCTGCCCACTTGCAAAATACCCTAATGCAAGTTGCTGTGAACAATTGTTCGATAGGCAAGTAAGTACAATATGCACGTACTCCTAGGTAATAAGAATTTCAACAACTTTCAGTCTCCTTATTCACTGCTTGTTCACACTACTCAATAAATATTTGTTGAATAAATTGAATTTAATTATGCAAACACACTGGGTGTCATCTCTGAATCCATTTTTTAATAAGACTGCTTCATAGGCATTCCAGCGCTTTATATTTTCCGTCATGAATTATTAAGCACTGAATAATGTACATAACACATCCCTTGCATTTAGTTTATGCTCTGTAATTGAATTCAATCATTTTTAGTAAACATTTATTGAGAATTATGTATCAGCCAGTGTTCTGGGCCCTGGGGAATTCCAAGAGTTCTTGCCTTAAATGGGAGCAGATTTACAACAAAGTATTTGATGAGTCCTAAGATAGTCTTGAAACTATAAAAAAAAAAAAGGCTAATATGGGTGTGGGGAAGTGAGAGGGAAACCTTGCAGAAAAGAGAACTTCGAACTGAATATAAAGGGCTGAATGGGAGTGTGCCAGACAGAGGGGAAATGGGAAGAGGCAACAAAGGACGAAAAAATCAAATCCAGCCATGACTGGAGCTTAAGATACATGTGGAGAGTAGTAGTAGATGAGGAATGTAAGACACAGCTTGACCGTTAAGGGACCTCAGTGTCACATTAAGAAATCTAGATTTGATGTGGAGCATCCAAAGGATTTTAAATAGCTAACTAATACGGTCAGATTTTATTTTAGAAGGAGAATGCTGATGGCTGAGTAGAGGATGAAAGAGAAGCACAAGAAACTGGACACTGGGGACCAAGTTAGGAGCCTTTGTGACAGTCATTGACATAACATGGGAATCCAGAGAATCCCAAATCCAAAAGGTGATTCTGAGACAGAAATTAACTGATTGGGACATGAGAAGGGAGAAATATTGAACGATGTTTGCATTTTCTCACTTGGTCAACTGAGTGAATGATGAATTTAAATAAGAAATACAAGAGTAGAAGCAGGCTTGTTTGGTTTTTGGATGAGAACATCAAAGGTGCTTATAGAATAGAGAACATAGTGTATGTCCATTCTAGCCTGACAGATATTTCTTCTCCTATCATTAATAATAACATTTATAAAGAAGATAAGTGAATTGAGGGGCAGTATAGTGTAATATTTAACAGTGAGGATTCTAGAGCCAGGCTGCCTGGGTTCATATCCTAGATCATCTCTTAATAACCTTGTGACCTTGGACAACTTACTTTAACCTAATTGGTTTCCCCTGCAAAATGGGCATCAATCATTGTATTCACTTCATAGGAGTTTTGTGAGGGTTAAATGAGTTAGTACATGTAAAGCCCTTAGAATACACCTGACAGTAGTAACAGTGATTAGCTGTTTGCACGGTTATGTGAGAAATTGAATATTTTATGTAAATAAGACGTAAGAATACTAGCTGTGTATATAACTACCTTTTCCTTGCTCTACTTTCTCTTTTTTCGTGGTGCACTTATCTTCTAACCTACTAGACAATTTATATATTTATGATCTTTATAGTGTATTATTTGTCTTCCTTTCACTGAAACAGTGATTTTCAAAGTACAGTCTCTGAACCAGCAGCATCATTATCATCTGGGAACACGTTAGAAATGCACCTTCTCGGGTCCCACCCAGGACTTACTGAATCAGTAATGATTTTAACAGTCTATTTTAACAGCCCTCTCTGGGATTCCTGATACATGTCAAGTTTGAAGGCCACTGAGCTAAACATGTTCTTTATTTTCTTCACATCCTCACCAACACTTGTTATTTCTTGTCTTTTTGATAATAGCCATTCTAATAGAAGTGGGGTGATATCTCATTGTGGTTTTGACATGTATTTCCCTGATGATTAGTCCTGTTGAGCTCCTTTTCAGGTACCCATTGGCCATTTGTGTATGTCTTCTTTGGAAGAATATCTAGTCAGAGCCTCTGCTCATTTTTTAATTGAATTGCTTGGTTTTTTTGCTATTCAGTTTAATGAGTTATTATCAGATATATGATTTACAAATATTTTCTCCCATTCAGTAGGTTTCGTGTTTTTTTAAATTTTTTAAAATATTTTTATTTATTATTGTATTATTTAATTATCGTATTTGGGGAGGAGGTAGTTAGGTTTATTTATTTTTGGAGGAGGTACTGTTGACTGAATCCAGGACCTTGTGCGTGATAAGCATTCACTCTACCACTTGAGCTGTACCCTCCCTCAGTAGGTTTTCATTTTGTTGATGGTTTCCTTTGCTACCCAGAAGCTTTTTAGTTTGATGTACTCCCAATTGTTTATTTTTGCTTTTGTTGCCTTTACTTCTGGAGTCAAATGAAAAAAATCATTGCCAAGACCTATGTCAAAGAGTTTTCCTCCTATTTTTTCCTAGGAGTTTTATGGTTTCAGGTCTTACATTCAAGTCTCTGATTCTCTAAGTTAATTTTTGTGCACTGGGAGCATCTTTTGTTGAAGGAGGCTACTCTGGGTGGACTCCTGGGTGGCTCCATGGGGGCTGGTCACCAGAAAGACCAACCCATGATTAGAGTAGGGCTTAGAATTTCAGCCCTGCTCCCTGCTTCTCTGGAGGGGAAGAGGAGCTGGAAAAGGAGTTAATTACTGACCATGCTTATGTGAGGAAGCCTCCATAAAATCCCAGTAGTGTGGGGTTCACGCAGAAAAGAAACTCACAGGAGGAAGGACTGGGTTTTTCCATCTGCAGGAGAGAAAGACATAAGAGGGGGAAAGACTGGGTTTTCTTAATACATTTCCCCGTTGTATAGGCTTGGCGTCTTTGTTGTAAATTAATTGACCATATTTGTGTGGGTTTATTTCCGGGGTGTCTTTTCCATTCCCTTGAGCTTTGTGTCTGTTTTTGTGCCAGTACCATACTGTTTTCATTACTATAGCTTTGTAATGTACAGTTGACCCTTGAACTACATGGGGATTAGGGGCGCTGACGCTCTGCACAGCAGAAAATCGTGTGTAACTTGTTTGCCCTCCTCTCCAAGGTTCCTTAGTATTTGTGGATTCAGCCAACTGCAGGTCATGTAGTACTATTACTATAGTATTTACTATTGAAAAATATCTGTGTATCAGTGGACCTACCCAGTTCACACCTGTGTTTTTCAAGGGTCACCTGTAGTTCAAAATCAGAAAGCATCATGCCTCCAGCTTTGTTCTTCTTTTTCATTGGCAAATTGAAATTGAAATTAGGGTCTTTTGTGGTTCTGTACCTATTTTTGGATTGTTTGTGCTATATCTATGGAAAATGTCATTCAGTTAGGTAATATTTTGTTGAGAATTTTTGCATCTATGTTCATCAGGGATATTGGCCTGTAATTTTCTTCTCTTGTGATATTCTTTTCTGGTTTTGGTATCAGCATAGTACTGGCTTCATAAAAGATTTTGAAAGTGTTCCCTCCTCTTCTGTCATAAGCTCTACATTTGTCTGTCTTATTAATTTGGTGCTCCAAAGGTATTTGTTGAATGCTTGTATAAATACTGTGAATTGTTGGGAAGAAAATAATAATATATGATTGGGTATTGAAACTGAGTGTGATTATATGTCTATCCTACTGTGTTTTCCACATTTTCATCACTTTTAAAATCAATATATATATACCTATTAAAACAAAAGATATGATAACAGATACAGTGTGTCCTAGTTTAGGAAGTTTATATGGCAGTGACAATCCATTAGCAAATGTAATAATTATTAATCCATTTAATATTACATTAAGCACCTACAGCCATAATTTGTAGTCTTAGTTTTGCAGCATCTGAAAAGGCCTCTCCAAAACCTCAGAATGCTCTGAATTCTTACCCAATTAATACAGCAAATATCTGTAGTCATGGTTTCTGGTTTTAGTTTTGTAGTACCAAAGGCATCTCTCCACTTGTCTCAATGAGCATTGTAAGATTATTGAAAATTTTTCATTTTAATTCTGTTAAATTTCAGTGTCTATACATGAGATCCCATTATTTTGAAACCAGAAAAAATAATCACTATGGAGGACCATATGCAGTAGGCTGATAGACACAATTACTCACTGACTGCAGAATTTTAATTTTTCTAACACTCTTCATATTTTTTGGTGAATTTTGTTTTTGCTTAGTTCTTCCTACCTAAGGATTTACTTTTAAAAATAGTGGTTGGTAGTTACTATTTATTGAACCCTTAATATGCCTGGCATTTGCTAAGTGCTTGTCATGTGTGTTATCTCTTCTAACTCTTTCAGACAACCTTACGAGGTCACTACTGTTATATTTCTTATTTATATTTGAGGAAACGGGTTTAGAGGAATCTGATAACTTTTACTTCCTATGTGGTGTGAGATTAGGTCAGCTAATGTGGTCTGCAAAGGGGGTGTATGTCCTGGAATTGCCACAGTGGGGCGCCAAAAGCATTAACCACGTATTTTCAAGATCCTGGTGAAACAGGTTATTTCCACAGTTCTAATGGGCCAAGGTTAGTTCATTCTTGGGCTGGTAATCCAAACCACCTATAAGAAAGAGAGGCTACCACCTTGGTTGAATATGAAGGTAGGCTTCTTCTAGCTCTTTTAGAGCTAGCTGCTTCCATTTTATTCCATGTCCGGAATATTGTGCTGCCATCCACCCACTATCCCAGTCAGCCTCTAAGCGAGTCGCATGTGAATGGTTTGGAAAGGCTGTGGGGTTGGGGATAGTGTTGTTTGGAGTAGCTCTTGTTTCTGCTCCCCATTTTACCTAATACCAGTTCTGCTGTTTTGTTCTAACTCCCTAAAAAATTAAGAAGTCTGAACAGATTTTACCTGTATACCTTGGGAGCACAAAAATGCCCCTCAATGCTATAATGTACAGACGCACTGGATTGGGATTCAGGAGACTTGCATTCTTGAACTAGTGTTGCTCCACATCTACTCCTCCTATGACCTTGGGTAAGGCAGTTTCTCCAGGCTCTAGTTTCCTCAACTATAAATGAGGTTACACGAGATGATCTCTTAGGTCCATCTCAGCTCTAACATTCATTGGTTTCACAATTCTGAGTCAAAAGCATACAGAAGCAGCTCCTGATACCTCTCAGCTGGGTAGGGGTCAGTCTCTTTTGAACCTTTAAAAGTATATAAGCTACAGAGCATTCCTAGAAGAATGTATGTCTTAAGAAATCAGGTAGAGAGTGGAGTATTCTAAGAAGACTGAGAATGACAGAGTCGTGCAGGGAAGTTAGTGAAAGGATCAAGATTCTGTGGGCTTCCTCTTTCCCCCTGCTCTTATTTATGTAGCCACTTTTTTGGAATCTTTCTAGAATTAGCCTCTTAAGAATGCAGGTTTTCATATCCTTCAACAAAGAAAGAATAAAGGAGGAGACTTTATGACTAACAGAAATATAGAAAAACCTAGGAAGGGAATGCACTTGTGTCACATACGTCATATTGTCTGGCTTGGATCAGAAGTGAGTGTGCTTGAGTTTGGAGCTATGCCTGTTTTGAGGAGTGATGACACTCAGCACTTTTGTGAATGCTTATTACAAAATAATATGATACCTCTCCATGGAAGTAGCCACTCTTGATTGCAGATATTATTTCACTGCTGGTGGCTGAAAACACTGCCCACTCAAGGGTAGTAACAGCTGCTTTGGCGCTTATTCCAGCTATATTATGGATGGTCAAGATGCAGACTATTTGCCATGGATGAACTTTCATATATAGATATAAAACAAGCCCTAGGTTTTGTGAGCAGTGTGTAGTGAGAAATAGTTCACTTGAAGTGTCTGTTAAGGAATGTCACATAACAATGAATGTGGCATAATAAAGGGCATGTTGTCATTTTCTCTTGCAGGCAATAGCAACGCCTAAGGAGCACTCTACTGGGCTTAGAGTTCTAGAAACTATGGGACTGAAAAGTAGATTTCTCTGTTCAGTGGGAGCTTGATCTCAGGTTGAGAATATAGAATGTGTATAACCGAAATGATCCATAATCAGTTAAGAAGCAGCAGACAGCTGACTTGTTAGATGCTGTTGTAATTAACAAATGTAAATCCATATAAAGCATTATGGTGATGTTACATTTTACATGGGATTGCGTTTGAAAGTCAAAGTGTGAAATAAAAATCAGGGTAAACAAAATTATCCAAGAAAATCTTAGGACAGCATATTGAGTACCCATATGCCATCCCTTCATAACCCCAACTCAGCTGTCTTCTTGGCATTGGAAATGATTGCTCTTTCTTCAGTTGATGGAAGTGCTGGCTTATATTTAGAAGTCAAACTGAGTGAAAAGTAGATAGCTTTAAAAGACCATGTCATTATACATAACTACAACATGGATGAACCTTGAAGACATAATGCTAAGTGAAATGAGCCAAACACAAAAGGACAAATATTGTATGATTCCTCTCATATGAGGCACCTAGAGTAGTCAAATTCATAGACCCAGAAAGTAGAATGGTGGTGACCAGAGTCTGAGGGGAGTGGAAATGGGGAGTTAGTTTAATGGGTACAGAGTTTCAGTTTGGGATGATGAAACGTTTCTGAAGATGGAGGAGGTGATGGTTGCACAACATTGAATGTACTTAATGCCACTTAACTGTGTACTTAAAAGTGGTCAAAATGGTAGATTTTATGTTATATATATTTTACCACAATTTAAAAAAGACTATCCCCAGATTGTGAAGGTAGTTACAAAAGATGAGTTCAAAAAATATTGTAAGCAATGGTAACTTTGTGTTAATAAGTAGATTATGTATAGATTTTCAAGGAGAACATTCGTTTGAATGTATAGATTTTTAAAAGCCTCATAAACAGGGCTGATTTTTGCTTGTTAGTTATGAGGGTATGACCTACCTCCTCATTTTATAGCCAAGGAAGGAGGCCAGGTCCCAAAGAGATGAAGAGAATTATCTAGGCTTACACGTTGAGCTAGGCCCAAAGCTAGGACCAGAACCTAAGCCCCTTTACTCACCACTTCTCCCCACATAGATGTTTACCCAGTGACAGCATGCTGGTACTCCCTTCATCATTTTTGCTGTGTCCAAGCACTGTTATTACTTAACTATTTTATTTATATTGACATTCCATGTAAAATACATTTACTTTTTTACATGGAATGTCGATATAAATAAAATAGTTAAGTAATAGTACTTAGTACATAAAGTTTTCTAAAAAGGAAATTTAAAATCACTACCTTAAATGGAAAATTTATAGAGCCTATCTAAATGATCAGAAAAAATACAGTGAAGGCAAAACAATGCTGTTTTAGTTAGATGTTATTTCTTTGAAGCTGAAGGCTGTTCTGTTTATGTTAAAGGGAGAGATTAGTAAGTTTGGGGGAGTAAAGACATACTAACACTAAAATGACATGATGCAGGGACTGAACAAGGAGTGACTTTTTCCCTGTGTGAGTCAGTGGTATTTACATCATTTCCCATACCACTTCCAGTGGGCATGGCCACGAAACATGTGCGGTATACCATGTAGGCTCTCCAGCAAGCAAAGTAGGCGGGTTTTGAATTTTACAGAAAAGCGGAAGATAAGGGTTAATATAGAGAAGTGATTTACAGTGGGAGTGAAAGTAGGGACAAGGATTTCAGAGAACCAGTATTGTTAAACATTATCATGAAAGTGTCTGGTCCCTCAGTTAGGATGGGTGAAAAAAGATGGACAGTGATTAACTGTAGTGTTTCCTAGTAGGGATGCTATTGCCTCTGGGGCCAGATCATCGTTATGCAGGACTGTCCCAAGCATGGATATTCTTGTTCCCTGGGCCGTAAATGCTGATGGTAATAAGTTCCTCTCTCCTCCCCCCGAGTTGCTGTGATAACTAGTTCCCCTAAGTTTCTAAATGCCTTTTAGGGGTGATTAAGTACTGTAGTCATGCCCCCAGGAAAGGAATGGGGAGTTTATTCTAAGCAGAGGGTATGGTCTCTACAAATGTATGGAAGCGGGACGGAGCATTTAAAACTTGTCTGCCTTTTCCAGAAGAGAAGAAGAAGTTGATCAGAGATTTTGATGAAAAGCAACAGGAAGCAAATGAAACGGTGAGAAAAAGGAACAAGTCATTATTTCTTCTTCCTGGTTGTTGGTCTTTTCCAGAAGTAAAACTTATAGACCTGATCACAGATTAACTGCTCCTGTCTGTTGATCTTGGTTCTGATTATTTCTTACTACATGAGGCCAGTTGATTGGGATGAGTGTTGAGGGGGTTTGGCAGACACAATTGGATAAAGCTTGAAGGTGCTCTTTTTGTGTGTGTGTGTGTGTGAAACAGGCCTTTATTTTGAATTTGAATTATTCATTCCATTCTCCATCCTACTCCAGGTATTTCCTGTTTCTATCAGGTGCCTGGTTTCTCACTGGGCAGACCTGGTAATCATTTCCCTGGGTATCCATGCGGCCATCCCCGAGTAGCCAGCATGCTCTCTGACTCTTCCCTTCCATCCTCATGGCTTGAAGGTGCTCTTGAGTCTTTGATAATACATTGCTGATGTAGTAAGGACATTCTCAAACCTTTACCTGGGTGATCTTTTAAAATCTCATTTTAAAAGCTGGCCATTAAGATCAGTTATTCTCCCTTGTTAAACTTAACTGTCACAGAAAATGGAGCTCAGAGATGGTTCTTGTCACATTCCCTTCTGTTTCAAAAGACAGTGTAGTGGCTGGATTTGATACCTTGGGCAAGGACTGCATGGACAGGTTGTGTTCCCAGTAAGGACCCAAAGCTTGTCAGAAGTTCAGGTTGATGAGCAGTGTAACAACTTCTTCTCTCTTAATCTGTGGCTTTTCTTTTTTAAAAAAAAAGTTTGCTCTCACCTTTTAGAAGTAATGGTCCTTTGTCTCCATATCGTTATGCTATATAGCTTCAGCAAACCCATTCAGGAGTCTGGAGCTAAAATCCAGGTCCCTGGTGAATGAATAGTTGCCCATAGTTTTTGGTACCCTAGAATAGACTGAAAAATTATTTTCAAGCCAGAAAACCTCTTCCTTGCTTATTGAAGACCAACTTCCCTGTCCCCATGAAGTTGTGAGAAGTTAGGCTTATCTGCATCCTTTTCTCTATTCTGCATCTATTTTTAAGAAGGATCAGCCCACCAGACTGTGGAAACTCTCTCCTTCATAATGGGAGTACTTTTCTAATACCTGTGTGCAGCTGGGCACACCCATGATACCAGTTATAGCGGGCATCTCCATAATACCTATTACAAGAGCCAGTCTTCTTTTTTCGTTAACGTCTTGGTAGCATTTAAAATATCTTTTAGCTAATACCAGTTTATTTATTTGGTGCTTACTTTGTTTCTCTGAACTTAGAAAAATTAACCAAGCCTGAAAATAATTTATGGCCTCTTGTGAACATGTCTAGGTATTACATTTTACTAAAGTGATCTGGACCTCTGGTTATCCTGACATAGAGACAAACAATTCATTTTCAGAAAGAGGAGGAGGAAGGGAAGAACCTTGATGCCAGACCCCTGTCATTTTAGTACAGTAGATCTCAAAGTGCTTCACCTTACCACTTGAGCCATAACAGGCTAAGAACCTGGTATACTGAAAAGAGAATTTGAAGATTTTGAATCTGACTTCTCTTATTGTGTAATCTTGAGCAGGTTTCTTCAGGTCTTAATATGAAATAGAAGTATGTCCAACCTTATTGATCTGTTGTGAGGATTAAATGAGAAAATGCATGTAAAGATGGTTAATAAGCTATAAGATACTTGTTAGTTTTCTTACTCATTCATCACATACTTTTTGAATGCCTGTTCTGTGCTTGCTAGGTGCTGTGCCAGGCACTCAGAGTAATAAGGTGAACATGTCACATGTGGTCCTTGCCCTTCTGGACCATATGGTTGAGTATTTGGGGTTGTCTGTGGTTTGATTAGTCCAACCTAGGCATATACTCATATGAACGAATAGAACCAGGCCATCTACTCACTACTTTCTGCCTTCCTAGCTGGCAGAGATGGAAGAAGAACTACGTTATGCACCCCTATCTTTTCGTAACCCTATGATGTCTAAGCTTCGAACCTACCGAAAGGACCTTGCCAAACTCCATCGGGAAGTGAGAAGCACACCTTTGACAGCCACACCTGGAGGCCGTGGAGACATGAAATATGGTACATACGCTGTAGAGAATGAGCACATGGTAAGCTTCAGCTGTTTTTCCCCTTACGAGTCTGTGCTACAACGAGTAACCATATTGTGGAGTTCAGTTCGTGTTATCAGTGCATACTAGACTCTTTGTTTTTCCCACTTTATCCTTTTTCCTGCATCCAGTTCTCCTTCTTCCCTTGGATGCCCACTTCTTCTGTATTTAATACAGATCTTTCCAAACCATAAGCTTATTTAGATTTCTTTGTATCATTTATGTATAAAACAGTGCTTGGTGTGCAGTGGTGTTATACAAGTGTCATCTATTCATATTACATCTGGGACTCTGTAGTCTGACCCATTGATCCAATTTCTTTCTCACACATGCCCCCAAAGTTCAGTTAGGTTTTATTTGTCAAACTATTGTTAGAAAGCTAACCCATGCTTTCCTTTACGTTTATATTGAGATGGCCCAGTAGCCCAGATACAGTATGGAAGGCAGGATCCTTCTCAGAATGAGGCTAACACCTTACTTTGTTGTGATGGAAAATGAGCCAGGCTGCCTCTCCAGCCTCAAGTATTCCGATTTATAAAATCAGACTAACTGAATAGAAAGTCTATGTTCTCAGACTGTCTAGAGAAGCTAGATAGTTAAAGGAAGAAAATTTGATAAAGACTAAATTTCGCATGTTGCATTTGGGGTTATATTCCACAGCACGAAGTAGAAATGGCCTGGCCGGCAGCGTGGGAGAGAAGTGGAAGGGGGCCCACAAGTGCAGACTGCACTGATGTAAAAAGGCTAGTGGTTCAATTTTAAACAAATCCTATTTCATGATGCATCCTGAGTAGAGTTTGAGATACTCAAATGATACTTTGAGTTTAAGAGATACTCAAATGATGCTGGCCTGACACTGCTGATGTCAAAACTAGAGTATTAGTTGTATAATGAAAACTAGTAGTATAGTGAATGATGTGAAATTTTCAAAATTCACTGTGAGAGTGAGAAAAGGCAGGCAAGTGGAGCTTGTTAAAGTGAGATAAGAGGTATAAAGTGACTTTGGCCATTTGTTACCCCCCAAAAGAACCCGAAAACAAAAAGGGGGGAGATAATTCCAAAAAATAATTTTGCTTTAAAATTATTGGTTTCAGAAATTATAAAAACAATTTAGATATACACGCCACCTTCAGTAGAATTATTGTTCCAAATTTGGGGTTGATTTATGTGACCTTAGTGTCTTTTCTTGCTCTTCCTTAAACCTAATCAGTTGAAAATCCCCATCTTTTATTTTTAAAAAAGCTTTTTTTCTGCTCGTAAGCCAACGTAGCTGGGATTTATTTCAACGTCATCTAGTGGTTTCTTCATCCACTTGTCCATATGCCATATATGAGGTGAAAAGTCTCGTTACTTCTGACGTGAGAACAAGCTGCTTTTGGCTGCTTGATGGTGGTGTCTAGTGCTAATAGTCACCTGCTCAGTAATAGGCCTTGTGAGCTGGCCTCTTCTTGAGTGTGTGTGTGCATGTGTGTTTTGAATAGCTGAGAACTTAGAGCTGCACTCATTTCTGTCAGTGGTTATTTCTGGCCTGATGAAGGCTACTTCTGTCCTCGTGCCTTCTGTGCTTAGGAGAATAGATGGAGTAAATCTTTGGTGAGGATTTAGAAATAGGGTGCTTGGGAAATTAGGGCAGCTTACGTGGCCCAAAATACTTCCTTTCCTGAGAGTAAATCACCAGTGTAACGACGATAGAGTCTTTCTGTGTTTGGCCTGAGGTCAAATTCTCCTGGGGCTTACCAAGACTGTAGACACTTAAGCTTTTTCCAGAATGTGATAGTGTCTCACACTTCTAAATGATTTCTGGGGAGTGGGTGTAGCTCAGTGGTAGAGTGCATGCTTAGCATGCATGAGGTCCTGGGTTCAATCCCCAGAACCTCCATTTAAATAAAATTAAAGAATAAAAATATAAATGACTCCTATATGTGCTGAAAACAAGTAGCTTATTCACAGTCCCTCGATCCTCAGAACCAATCAGTGGGAATTTTCAGTAATTATTTCTAGGGCTGTAGAGTTTATTTGGTTTGTACTATCAAAGTTATAAGCTGAATGCATCTTCAGGTAGCTCCTGCATCCCAGATCTGGGCCATTGCCTTTCAGAAGTTGCTAGTCCAAAAAGTCACATGAACCAGTTCAGATTTATCAGGGGGGAAATGCTCTGATGTGTTTAATCCTCCTTTCTTGCCTCACTTAAGTGTAATAAGCAGTAGAGTGGGGGGTATTGTGATCCTGAATTGAATCCCAGGTTCTCATTTAGTCTCATTCGTTAGCATCTTTGGTTGTCTTAAAAGTAATGAAAATTATTGCACACTATATCCTTTCTTATAAATTCATTTATAATGGAAGAAGTCTAACATTTCCCTTCCATACTCCTGTCAGAATCGGCTACAATCTCAAAGGGCATTGCTTCTGCAAGGCACTGAAAGTCTGAACCGGGCCACCCAGAGTATTGAGCGTTCTCATCGGCTTGCCACAGAGACTGACCAGATTGGCTCAGATATCATAGAAGAGCTGGGGGAGCAACGTGACCAGTTGGAACGTACCAAGAGTAGAGTAAGTATGAGTAGAAAGGGGGGAGAGTGGGGAAAGTAGGTGAGCCTATTACACTCTGATGCCTTGCTCCTGCCAGAGGTGACAGCAGTTCTGAATTCAGGGTAGGACCTTTTAGGTTCTTATGCTTCTCTCAGTTTTTAGTTGGCTTGTCTGAAAGATCGCCCTCCCTTGGAAGTAATTTTACCCTTAGGATTTGGAGATCATTTTGCGGTGAGCTGGGGAGACTGCAGAGACCCAATTTCTGCTTTTATTGAAGATTGTCAATAGGATAGAATGGCTGCAGTCTTATTTAGGTCTTGTATTGTGAATCAGATTTTTATTTCTCATACATCTTAGTAGAGTATTCTGTTCTCATGAAAGCATCATCTACTTAAAAAGAGCCTAGTTTTCCTGTCATATGGAGCCAAGGCTATTTTCCACATGATATAAAATAGTACCACTGACAATTTATAGAGGTTCAATCCTGGACTTGACTCTTTTACTGTTACCTAAAGGTAAGCTGGATCGTTGTGAGAAAATACTTAAGCCAGATGGTGACTATACTGGGGCCTCTAATCTATCATCACCCTAAGAGGCTCTGAAAAACAACTCCTTTCTTCCTTTCAGTACATCTGCAAAGCAATTTTAAAAATAGTGCAACTTGCCAATGGAATGCTGTATTCTTAAGAGCATGAGGCAAATCCATATTGAAAAACAGGTACTGTGGGCAAGACTTAGCTCAGTATGGGGATTTGGGATCATTTTCTCATACTGCTTAATAGCTGTAATTCTCCGTTATTGAAATAAGTCAGAATGACGCTCTTCCCTCCTGAGTGGATATTCACAGTAAAGTACTGAATTCAGGGTAAGCTGTGGAGAAGGCAACTTGCTTACAGGTTGTGTGGTTTTGTACTTTTTAACATACCAGGTGGACTAGCTGCATTTAAAAGCCAAGGAATGAGTTGAGCGATTAACTTACCAAGGCCACTGGAAGATGCGAACAGATGACAGGACAGGTGGCACCTACTGAAATATCCTCCAGCCACCTAGATTAGTAACAGGTGACCAAAAGGGAATGAAAAAGGCTTAAAATTTTTTAATTCTTTTCATAATTAAATGAAAGTGTCTCTTAAAGGGGTAAAGAAAAAAAGGACAAAGAACCAGACCCCAAAAATGGTAATCCAGCAGCCTACAAAAGCAGACATTAATTCGAGGCTCTTCTGGAGTTTGGCTGATGAAATTCGAATCCTAAGTTGCTCAGAGTTACTTCATCTACCAGCAAGGTGCATTTGAAGACTTTGTTTTGAGTAGCCAAGGTGAACGATTAGCTCAGTCCCAGGAGCTCCCCCACAGCAACCTTGGGATATAATAATTCCTGTTCGACCTGACGGGTACCAAAGTGTCTTGTCCTTTCCAGTTTCTTCTGCTTATGGTCAGAGGTCGTCATTTAAATTGGTTTGATTTCTGGGAGTTGTTTTTCAACAAATACCACTGAATGTCCACTGTCAATTTAGGAATGTTCAAATTCTGCAGTATGTACTTTTGAAAGAAGCGGGAAATAATCGCTGTTTTCTCTTCTCAGCTGGTAAACACAAGTGAAAACTTGAGCAAAAGTCGAAAGATTCTCCGTTCAATGTCCAGAAAGTAAGTTTTAAAAATAAAGTCACAAAATTAATTTTTTAATTCTCATGTCTTTCACCCAAGAATGTTAAAGCATTAGATAGTGACTTGCAAAGGTCTTAATAAAGTGGAAGAAATAAATATTGTATAGTTAAATATCCCAGAACAAAATCCTTTGTTAAAAGTATTATACTGCTGAGTTGGAGTAGTAGAAAATTTGTTCACTGGAAGGACTTCTAATCCCAGCTGACATTTCTCAGAGAAGACAGCACATGGGACTAGAGCTTCATATTCCTTGAAATCAGTTTGTAAAAACAGGATTATAAAATTTCACTGCTACTGCTTAGTACTTATTTTTGACTCTGCTTCATGGGGGTCAAACCTCTTATTCTGTCTTGTTAGCAAGAAGTTGACTTAAAAAAAAAACTCTTGAGGTAAGTGCTGACAACAACAAAACCAGGGGGATAAGGAGAAAGTATTGCCACTGAGGCTGAATTTGGGGTAAGTGGGTGGGTAGTATGCCTGAAACAAAACTAAAACTGAGCCATGGAACCAGCAAGAGCGTGAGATTTTCCTAAACAGTGGTAAATTCCTTGTGCAACAGAGGGAATGAACATGAGATCCAGACATGGGATTCTTTGTGTTAACAAAAGGTAGTAAAATTTACTACCTTTATAGAGATACCCATTTGGGTTGATAGAGGAAGAAAGAGTAGGAAGAAAGGCTAAGACGTTCACAAGAGGCTGAAAGGCACTTCCCAGCTTCTAGTTACTTATCCCAACCTAGAACTCACCCTGAGCTCCACTTGGACACTGGGGGAGAGTCTGCCGCAAACCCTCATCCTAGTATGTGCTCACAGCTGTAGTGTGTGATTAACGCAGCTCTTTAGAGTCAGTGATGTATTTCTGCTATATTGAAGTATAAGATTCAACCTGATTTCAGAAATGGTATACTTTTCCACATTTAATATTTAATATTTTTCTAATTAGTCCCTCCTAGAAAAGCCATTTTTAAAGTGAAATAGTATATATTATTTGAAGACATTTTAGAATTAAAAAGTTTTATGCTTTGGTATCTGTTGTCCTGGCCTAACATTTCTGTGAGGTAGATGGTGTTCCCAGCTAAAGAATCTTATAAATAAGTGCTGAGTGTCTGTGTGAACAGAAATTCAGTCTGCCTCACAGTATCGGGCCTTGGCCCCAGGTCAAACCCCTGAGTATTAAGAATGGAAGGAAATAAGGTTACCCAGACTTCTGACTACATCTACTTTGCTTCTCTTTGCAGAGTGACAACCAACAAGCTGCTACTTTCCATCATTATCTTACTGGAGCTAGCCATCCTGGGAGGTCTGGTCTACTACAAATTCTTTCGCAGGCATTGAACCTCCTACAGAGAGAGGTTTGTGGACCAGAACTTTGACTCTGTGAATGGTGTTAGAGATGTGGAAAAATCATATTACTGCTGTGAGCTAACGGTTCAAGAATGCACTGTGTAGCCAGACTATGGGAGGAGGAAGGGAAGGTGGAAAACCACTTAAATGTGAAGGAACAGCAATAAGACTGTATGATATACCAAGGTAATAAATGCTGTTTATGACTTCTGTAAATTTACATAGTGATCCAACATATTAATACCTTGTGAACTTCAAAAAACCAAATACATTTACAGGAGTAGTATTGGTCACCAAAATGAAGGGGAAGGAAACTTTACAATTGTGAGAATGCACAAATGTTCTCATTAAGGCAGTATTGACCCAGACAGACCACCATTTAGTATCTGTCACCTCAAATGCCTCACAACTCTGAAATGCCCATCGTGACATTGTCAGGACGCAGTATTTCCTAAATTCTTACACGTTCTTCACTTTCTGATTCATCTGGTGAACTGGGAGTCGGAAGTTGGTCATAGACAACGTGCCCTCCCTCCCTTGTCTGACCAAAACTTGAAGCAATCACATCCACTGCCAGGCCAGCTGTAGCCTTGGCCTCTTCCTCTGAAGCGGCCAACCGAGGATTGACTTCAACAAGATCCAGTGCTGAGAGCAGCCCTGAAAGAACAAAATATGACAAAACCTCACAAAACTTCCTGACTGCCACTTTCAGTGAGGGTCGTCCCACCTGAGCAGAACAAGCCAAGGTAAAAACAAGTCATTTTCCTCTATCAAATTATCCACTCTCAGGAAGCCCTTATATCTCATCCTCTTGGGCATGAATTTAAGTTGAAAACACTGATATACCAGAATACGATTGAAAGGAACCTTTAAGGTAATAAAATAAATTCTCTCTGTTTAATGAACATAGCAGCAGGCTTAGCTGACAGGCTTTCTGGATAGGTCAAGAAAAGAGCTGGAGCGGTTTGGTACTAGGAGTTTCCAACGTATTTTCTGGGAAGATGCATCATTTCCAGTATTTCTAGGAACCTCCCAGATGCCTGCCTGTGGTTGTGTGAAGAGATCTCCCGTTTCTCATTAGCCAGAGCTCTGTTGCCACTTTGGAACTCTGGTGCTGTATCTGTACCTCTTAAGGCCCCACATGCCCTGAAGTAAAGTTATTACTGCATATCTTACTCTCACCCTTACAAGCCTGAGCTCTGGGGGCAGGTTCCATGTCTGACACAATTTTTAGGGCTCAGCAGATTGACTTAGTATCTTGCACTTGGTCATGGAAAGACTCAGTCATACTTTAATTTGAACTTGTTACCTTCTGTGAGGGTTTCAGAACTTGTGCCAAGGGGGTTGAGAAGGGAAGATTAGACCAGAAAAGAACCTGTCCAGACCTTCCTTCTACTCCCTTCCCTCCCGCCCCAACACATACATACACACACCCCCTACTTCTGGGGTGTTTGACCTTTTAGTTGGTTATTCTGGGTGAAGTTCATCTACCTCTTCAAGAGTCATCTGAACAAACTAGGGTTGGAGAATACAAGTATCTGAGACTATTTAGGGTGGCCATAAAGCCTGGAAACATGGGTGAATATACCTAATGGTTTATAAATATTACACTATAGTACATGTTATGTTCAGTGCTGTTACATCGGTCAGTGTGCCGTCCCTTACTAGCAATGCATAGTTCAGAGCACTGTGCACAGCCACTATGAGCAGGCACGTTACTGTAGCATTTCCACCAGTTCCTGCTCATGCATCTGTGTCTGATAATTTGTGTATCTTGATTTCCACTGACTAAACCTGGACCTTCTGCATAACCCAGAGGTAAACCAAGAGGGTTTGTGCTATTAAAAATATGTATTACCCATGTTTCCAGATTATTGCCACCTTTAATTTAAGCAAACCACTGTATTTAGTTCACAGTGTCAGGACAGTCAGCCTTTTGGAACAGAGTAACAGTGCAGCCAGAGAGGGAGGGGCAAGGTATGACCACTGCCCTGTCTAAGTGCTAGAGGTTACTCACCCCTGCTCTAAGTGGTGTCACTGGGAACCAGAATGGAGAACTGAACTTCCAGGTTCACTGGCCAAGGACAATCGACAACACCTAAGATTGTAGGTCTGAGAATGAGACTTTTGCCCCTCTCAGAGCTGACAAACAAGCATTCTTTCCCTTTCTGTAGTGCCTAAGGTTCTAGTAGGCTTCGGAGCCAAGGAGACCATTTCTCAATTTCCATATCTATACTAGTCAAGGGTTTCCTTTGGTCCTGGATCTTTCAGTCTGGGTGTCTATACCTTTTAGACCCCAATTTCATGAGATGGTATTGAAGTATCATGTGACAATGGTTTAAATTTTGCAATGAAAGGTCATTTAAATTAGCCTTAAGACCAGAAGTTTTCTGACAGACTGTTTGCAAACAAGGATGAGTTTGGGACAGTAACCTCTTGTAGTTACTCTTGATCTAGCATTCAGCTTACAAATCTTCCTGTCAGCCATGCATTCCAGTATCCCCATATTACAGGCCCTGTCAAACAAGCTCTAGTATGTAAGACTTATATCAGAGGACCCAAGATACTATCCAGCTTTGAAATATCTTCAAGAGAAGCCATAACTCGACATTCCCAACTCCCAGCGTCAGGGTAAAAATCACAGCTATTTGGCCTTGCCTTTTAATCTTAACCTATTTTTAGATAATTCAGATGTGAAGAACCACATCAGTTTGGTGTTTATTATAACATTAAGTGTTTAAGTAGACATAAACAATTTTATTCAGTGTTGCCTGAGCATATTTTGTCATTAGCCAGGTCCAAACATGCCTCTAGATAACTATCCCATATTAGCCTGACCACATGACTTTTAGCTATAGAAGTTTAAGCAAAAAAACAATGTGTGCAATGACATGTAATAGTAGATTAGATCCTCTGGCAGCCAAGAGGCTTCAGTGTATTTACTTACGTAGTTAACAGGTTGATCACTGCTTACCTGTATTGTGTATCTCCTCAGTAATATACATGCCTTCTCGATAGGTCAGTCCCCCTACAACAGGGGTTCCTGTGGCTGGAGCCAGTGTAGGGTCAAATGCGTCAATATCAAAACTCAGATGGATTGGCCTTTGTCTTCTTGAAAGGAGAATAAGAGAACAGTCATTTGGGTTGTGCTTGGACATTCATCCTTCCTACAGTTGCAACTCCTTGATTTTGTTGCTGTTAATCCTACTTTAATACAACGGATTTCCTATTCTAAAGTTACTGAGTATATTGGTTTCCTACACACCACTTCATAATTTTGTTCTTTGTTCTATGTGCCTCAGACAGACTAACTCCAATTTGTATTTATTTCTGACTTACTCTGGGCATTAGAGCCTCTTACATTAGGAACTGGCAATAGAGGAAATTCTTCACTTCCGCATGGCACTGAGTTCTGACAGATTCTAGTTTAAGTTGGATTGATCTAGGTTACATTGCTGTTATTCTCTCAGTAAAACAGCAGCTGAACTTAATTCTGATTTTATGTCTGCAATCTGACCACCCCCCATTTCTAATAACTTCAGTTTCACTCCTGTGCCCAGTAGCTGAAGCAAACATACAACACACACCTATATGCTAAATTATTTCAACTTCTTAACAGCTTACGGCGTGGCATACTACCAGGTGGAAATCATTGACCCAGAAATGAAGACTCAGCACTGGGAAATGTTCTTAACTAGCATTTGATTAGTATTTATCTGCCGTCTTTCCATACCACCAAGATTTGCTTAATAAAAAACTCCTTTCAGATGAAGCAATAGTGAGACTGGGAAGAAGAGGACAGTTGGAACAATGAACACTTCTCATCTCAAGAAGTAAGCATTAAAAATGAAGCTAAAGAGAAATTCATGAGAGAGAGTTTCTCTCCTAACCCCAGAAGAAAAATACAGCCTATGTTTCATAGTCTCCCTTTCTGAATTATTTTTATATGTACATATTTTGCTTTTATTTTAAAAGAAAAGCCATTATCCTCAAGAGACAGGCTCAGGTGTACAGCCCATTGGGAGTCTACCCTATTCCTTTTGGGACCTAGAAGTTGACATCCGTTATAGTTACTTACTTGCCAATCAGCAGATCGAACGTCTGTTCCATGACCTTCTGGATACCAAGTCGATCTATGTCTCTCATGGAAAAATACTGAATATCATAATTCTTTAAAATAAAACTGGTGAGATACAAAGGGAAGAAGCCTTAGTTTAAAGAACATTTTTAATCAAGTGTGTGTTGGGGGAGGGAGGGCAGGTTGTCTTTATAATGACCTACAACAAGTTAACGTGACAAAACAACCTACCAAATGGAACATAAGTGGCCAGGACAGGCCCAGAGCTCAATTCTGATGTGTCAACTTACTGTTCAGGAGGGTCCACGTCTCTTAGCCCAATATATACAATACTTGGGGAAGAGATACAAGGTTTGATCCAGGAAAATCCTGGGAGTTGTGGTACCTATGAAGAGAGGAATGAACAGGATTCATCAGAGATTCTTGGTCCCACCAAGATAATCACTGTGTGCTTCCCAGTGTATGCAGTTTACATTCTCCACACAAGACACACTTGATCTGGGAAAAAGAACTAACAGAAGTGGGAATGATTCAGAAGAGCAACTGAAGAACACAGATAGCTTTCTCAAGAAGAATAAAAAAAATACCTTAAGGTGGTCTTGGCTTCTTATTAACTTACCTAAATAGCAGGAGTACTGATTAGCCCTTTTCCACCTCTTTGCACATTACTGAACTGTTTAGATTGGTTCTTGAAACATAACCCAGTTGCCACCTCAAGTTGCCAACAGCCAAAATGTGTGTTCTGCCTAATGAATAACCTTCATACTGTCTTGGTTTAACTTGGTCCCTCACTGAGGGGAGGGATATACAGATTCTAGTCTGTGCCTAACATGGTCTCCCATGTCTTCTGAACAGCTTGGGAAAATACCACCTGGAGGTAATCACACTTTTGCTTGTCTTCTAGACTGACAGTTCTGAGAGTGAGTCCTGGGAGCTTCTAACCAAGAAGTCTTGGGGCTATGGGTATATCAGCCACTAGAGTTACTTACCTACTAGCACATTCCTTTATTATGAGATTATGAGCCCCCCCCCAGAAGACAGGGGCCATGTCCTACTCATCTTCATAGCCCCAGCACCTAGATTGCCTGGTCCAAAATAATGTTTAATGAACAAATGAAGGAGTGGTAAGCATTTCTACCACCACCGTAAACCCATCCTTCACAGAAATCTTACTGAACTAGACCATCAAAGCTCCTGGATAACACCTGTAAGCTGTTCAGCTTTCTCTTCATTTCAGCCCACTGACCTTGTCCTGTAGTTCTCTGAGGAGAAATGAAACTGGCTGTCCGTGGAGATTTCCAGATGACGTGGTGAGGGGTGTATTGATGTCAGCATGGGCATCAACCCAGATTACACAAAGGTCTGGGCAGTGCCGGGCGTGGCCACTAATGGTACCAATTGCCAAGCTGCAAAGAACAAATACAGTCATCTTAAAGGCACTCCACTTTGTAAACATCACCAATAACAAATATCCTCAACCAACACGGCTCACACTTTGTCCTCGGGGCAAAGTCAGGGCCCCACACTGAGCATGGATTTGGATGAGACAGAGTCCCTCGGGCTATTGTTCCCAAAGGTGAGCCTTGAGAAAGAGGGAGAAATGGAAGGCTCTAAAGATTCAAAGCTGATGACTGCTTATCCCTGCAGTGTGGCAGGTGTCATTGCTGCCCCCAAATCCCTTTAATTTGGTCCATTAGCCTTGGCCCAGAAAAGAACCTAAAATATTAGTTCAACAAATGAAATCCTGTTAGAGGATATGGCCTATATGTAGCAACTCACAAATACTACCTAATACCTCATGAGACACCAGGGAGATCTCATCATTACTTTCCAAGAATCAGTTATACTAACTTTTTAAGGAAAAAAATGAGGATTAAAGCTTTTTGGAAAGATTATGTGATACTTCCTAAAACAAGAAGTCAAAAGTTTTTAAAGACATTAAACAGGGCAACCCAGTTAAAGATCTCATTAGATCACTGAATAAGATGGAAGTTTATTTGTGTGTTATCTTGTGTACATTAGCATTCATGTATCACTAAGGTTTGTTTTGCTTTCCTTGTCCTTGGTCGCCACTTACATTAGTTAACTGTCCTTTCTCGGCTGTAGGAATATAGCAGATGAAATCATGGTTGGAAAGCTGCCCAAGCTTCCCAGGAACCAAAGAGTTTGACATTGATGGGAAATGCAGTGTGAGCATCTTAGGAACCAACTACAGTGATCTTTCTGGTCAGTACAACCTAAGCATTGAATGCACCGTGTCCCGCGTAGGACCTTTAAGGGATAGCACAGTCTAGTGCTGAAAGCACTGGAGTAAGTCAGAATACTGGGGTTTTTTCTAGGAGAAACTGTGAAATAGGACAATAGGAAATTAGATAATTTCTCTAGACTTCAGTTTCCCTTTCTATAAGATAGGGCTATAATAATCTTGGCCTGTTTAAGTCAGAGTTGGTTTGATGATTAAAGCAATAGTGTATGCTGTACTATTCAAAGGAGCTAAGTGACCTAAAAATGACACTTCCTTAGAACATTCAATAACTATTCCCATCCCTTCCTTTTTAGAATCTTCCAGATAGCCTAGGTTTTAGCACTGGACAGGAAACAGGGAGCAGTGATAGAGGTACGATGTAGACGGCTACAGACAAAAGACAAACCAAAGACCATGATAATTACAGTAATAAGCAGTCTGCAAATAGTAAGCCGGCCAGAAGACACAATAAATGAACTCAGAGAGAACTGAGCCAAGAGGCAAAAGACCCTTGGGTTGTTTAACCAATTTCAGTAGAGAACCTTGACACTTTCTTATTCTACCTAAAATTTTATTCCTCATGAGGAAATCTACCTGCCTTTCCAGTTAAGTGATCTGAAAAGCTCTCCAAGCAATTCAGGGAATGTTGTTAGATTAGATCTAAAAAAAATTTAATTGCCCATAGAGGTCACAAGACTTGAATCCCAACTCTGCTACTTCCTGGCCTTAGAGCTTGGGTAAATTATCTAGCCTCTGGTTCCTCAGTGTTCCCAGCAGTAAATTAGATAAAATTGTATCTTCTCATGGCATTATTTTGAGGATTAACTGGGAATATGTATGAAGTGCTCGATACTCCTAGTACTTCAATGCCATTTTTTCTTTCTACCAAAAAACTTCATTCCGTAGCTCAAATCACACTCTCCTGTGAAATCTGACTGTTCTAGCCCAGACTGATCTCTTCCTTCTAAGAGGTAGAATTCCATTTTTTTTTCATTCCATGTATATTTATTTCATCTAGTCCTAATCAATCACAAGCTTCCCGTAATCCTCAGCACCACCAGAGAACACATCAGCACAGTGCTCGGTCAACTACATGCTGATTCCCTGAGAGGCAGGATCTACGTTATTAGTCACCTAGGGGCCATGCTGTGGAGGTAGAGAATGTATTCATATGCCTAGTGGGGAATTTGCTAAGAAACCTATTAGCAGAAATACTTAAAAAATAAAAAGCCTATATTCAGCCTGTTGATCTTTCTAATTTTCCCAAATATGAAGTCATGAAACAGTTAAAGTTTTCCAAGAAATAAGCATCACACACACTGTCTAAACTTTGCTTAGTCTACGTCTGAACTTGTCCTCACACTACGTGATGTGTCCTACAAAGGAAACCACACACGCCTCCAGTGGCTCGTGATCTTAGGCATTAAAATAGTATGCACATCATACCCTAAAAATTCTGAAGGATATTTTACTCACGATGAGAAAACTGAGACAAAGAAGCTCACTGATTAGCCTGAAGCACCATGCAATCCAGCCCCTCCACCACCCCCGGCTCCCAGCTTACCTGTGGTCCCCTCCCACTGTGACGCAGCTGTAGCCACCTGACACCGCTCTGCTGACCACCTCAGCTAGTTCCTGGTTAGCAAGGCCCACTGAGCGAGGATTCACTATCAGATTGTTGTAGAGATCATCTTTGGGAACTGGAGTAAAACTCAAATCTCCGAAGTCTTTAAGGTGGCAGCCTGGAAACAAATGAAAGGTGACAAGATTAATTGTGTGTGTTATTCCAACTCTTACTGACCTGGATCACACAGAACAACTGGCAAAGTACACATCATACTTATTTTATTATTGTAACTCAAAACATCACATGACTGGGGCAGGATTATCTTAGTCCTCCCAGCAATCCCGTGGGGTAGATCCTGTCAGGAACACCATTTTACAGATAAAGCAGCTGGGTTTTGGAAAGTTAAGCCCAGAAATGTTCACTAACTTGACCTAACAATCACAAAATTGGTAGCATTTAGACCTCAGATATCCCCAGATTATAAAGAGAAAGTAGAATACCTAAAGAAACCGACAGGATTTAAAGAAAATTACTGTTAATGTAGGACAAAGAAACATACATAGAAGTTTTCATATTATGAACTTTAAAAAAAGTAAAATAAAAGGCCAACCTGAGGACCTAAATATTTTTTACTTTCAAGATGCTTTAACAGTTATTACTTACAAGATCCCAGACCCGGTTCTAGCTGCTCGACATAAATTCTTATCTAAGTCTCACAACAATCCTGTCCCAGGCAACTAAAGAATCCGTTCTATAGAGGGAACTGAAGCAAGGTCACGCAGTTGCTAAGTGCCAAAATCAGCATCCAAATCCAGGCCACCTGCCCCAGAGTGTGTACTGTTGACCATGCAGTTTGTATCTCAAAGATTCCGTCTTGATTCTGACCCTTTTAAGAAATGACGAGTCCTCTCCAAGGAACCGACAAGATGGCAGAAATGGAGCAGAAGCAGCAGTGGACCATCTGCAAGTTCACCCCCCGCAGTGAGCACCTAGACCAGCCACTGGACGCGCTGACAAAGTGACCAGCCACAGAGCGCTCCGCAGCCTCAGTGGAAGCACCCGCACAGGGCCAACCCTAGGGCGCGGCCCACAGAGAAACCAGAGGTGTTGAACATGCTCTGGCAGACAGATCATCCTGCCCACTTCTACAACTGCAAAGACCTTGTTAACTCTGTGGAGTGTATCATCAGGTTAATTCACAGCCTGGATGGTGGGTTCTCCTAGAATATCTAACTACATTTGCTCTGATTCCTTGCCCACCAGTCAGCCTTCTGGTTATTCACCTAGTTTCCCAGGTGCTCTCATAGCAGCAAGAG